GCTTAACACGTGCACATTGAGCGTCCTCTGCTGGTGCTGGTCCACTGTTTTCTGAAGCCCACAGTCAACGCAGCATCTACCAGGACATTTGAAAGCACTTCAAGCTTCTTTCTGCTGACAAGCTTTATGGAGATGCAGATTTAATTTTCCAGCAGGACTTGGCTCCTCCCCACACGGCCATAGGTATCAAAAACTGGATATGCGATATTGTAATTTTCTGAGACATTACATTTTTTTTTTTTATATAAAAGGCATGAAATATTTCACTCTGTGTAATGAATGAGTTTCACTTTCTGGAATGACTGACAAAATCAACTGAACCTTTTCACAATATTCTATTTTTTTTTTTTTTTTTTTTTTTTGTTAAAACAAGACAGAAGCTCAGAAAAGTTATAATTATATTTGACAGATACCCCACCACCATCAGTCGGTTCACTTAATGTTGCTCCTGAATAGGGAACAGCAGCTAAATGCAGCTCTTCACAGAAAACTGTGCATCATGACGGCTACTGAAGTTTTTAAAAAAAGGAAATTACTATTCCAGAGGCATATGTTTTCCTTCCTCCTCTCTGATCCTGTGAGACCAAAGTTATCAGAAGCCTCGCCGCCTCCAGAACATGATTAACATTTTTTGTTCGTTATTCTTCAAAGTTTTAGATCAGTGCTTCCAAGGTTTTGGCCTGGAGGGGTTGCACTGCTGTACAAATACATTTAAAGCACTCTTTTCTTGGACTTTCATGGTGCAAAGAAAAATATTAAAGAAACAATTAAAAGGGGAGGTAAAAAAAAAGACAGAAAATTAACTTTTTCTAAGCTCCATCAAAAGGCTATCCTAAAACAAACACTTTTTTTTTTCTATCACGATTAGACGTGTTCTAACAAGACCTTGACATCACCTGAAATGTAAAGACTTTGATTCACCAGAAAAAGGCTCAGTTTGGAGTTACTATACTGCAGCTTCTGTATAGCCAGTGTTCTTTAGGTCATATACTGCCATCTGTTGGCTTCTTATACATTATAAAAAGTAAAGCTCACACACTTATTAGGCTGTTGGTTTTATTTTGTTTTGAACCAAATATATATTTCATTTAGTGGACTGTTAAGTCTAATTTTAATCAGTGCAAATGTATAGCAAATCCTATCAGTGTCAGCCAAAACCTCAATGGGGCCCCAAGAGAAATTTGGTTTGGGGCCCTCTATTTCTGCAAATAATGAGGATTACTGAAATCAACAGTCAGATGATCCGATCATTCACTCACCTAACAAACTCCCTGTTTACATCATCCTATTTGTATACATCAGTGGTACTAAAAGTAACACAAAAACAAAAACAAACAAAAAACTGTATGAAATGTATTTTACAGCAAAAGTGTCATCTGGTTTATTATCGTTGGTTCCAAAGAACTGCAACGGTACTGTGCAAAATAATTTGTAGTGCAACAAACAGATACAATAACTTGGATGCATAAACATAAATTAAATTGTGCAAAAAAAACTGACGAAATTAAATAAATAAATAAATAAAAATATCAAGGAAATATTTAAATAATGTAAATGAACAATTAATTGAAACTAGGGCTGGGCCATATCGTATCGTTCATGATAATACCGGTAAAAAAAAATAAAAAAAACTTGCCCAGGAAAATAAATAATTTCATGATATGCTAATTTCATGAGGTAAATACATCAGTGTTTCCCCTACCATTATACAAGTGGGGCGCCCCGCCCCGTTAACAGAACCGAGCACACTGAACTACCGAACCGAACTGCGCACCGCCCACCCCCCCGTCAGTACTGGCATAATGCTAAATAGCTGCGTGCAATACTAGCTAGCCAAAAAGCTAAAAAAACAAACAAGGTGCAGCTCAGTTGTGTCTCTCCACCAGCGCTAAACTGCGGGTACCGACAGTGCACAGCTCAACTGTCTCTCCCTCCCCCCCCCCTGCTCTAAACTGGCGGTACAGGCGCAGCTCGGCTTGTTTCTCTCCCCCCCACCTGCACTTTAGTTTTTTTGTGGTGAATTTTGTTGATCTATATTTTGTGCAGACTTTTTCAATCTAAATAACAGAAGGATATTTTTTTTTATATATATACTTTTAGACTGAATACTTAGTAAAATTAGCCTTTGTTTTTTTTTTATTATAATATTTCAAAGCAACATGTTAAGTTAATGTTGTCAAATGAATAACTGTGATTTCAGGGTTTTTTTGTTATATCACGAAATTTATCGTTATCGTCTGAATGCTCTGAAATATCACTATATTATATTTGAGCCATATTGCCCCCCCCTAATTGAAACCACGTAAAAAATGGTTTAAAAAAATGAATTTAAAGTTGAATACTTAGTTCTTAAAACTATGTAAATGTATGCAACAGTCTGCAAAAGCTGAACTTAAAATATTAAATAGAATCATATAAATATTACTAAAAAAATAAAATAATCCACTTGGGGGGCCCCCTAGTGGCCCCGGGGCCCTAAGCAGCCACTTTGTTTGCTTATGCCTTGGGCCGGCCCTGAACAAATTTTCTCATAAAGCAGACCGTTCTTAAATAAACTCAAAATTGTACTTTGTTTTTTCCATTACCTGTATTTCTGGTTGTTATCCGATAGCCAGCCTAATTCCCTCTTCTGACTGTTCCAACGTCAATATTGCTCTTTAAAATTCAGCGTTTTACTTTCTTTCTGTAGTTATTGCTTTTTTTTATATCACACTGATGTGACAGTTTGACGGGAAATCTCTTTCCCGCGCTCTCTCGGAGTTGTTAGTCTTGCCAAAAATCCCCTTACCGAAGAAGAAAACATGAAGACGAGAAAGCATCCGAGCTGTAATATTGCTGTGACTGTGAATAATAATATTGTTACACGTGATGTGACAAAAGCCCACAGTTGCATCTGATATGTGGATGAAGAGTCAATTAACAGCTTGAATGCTGAAACTTTCCTGGCTCAGCTGCACATGTGCTTTCAACACGTTTCCAAATCTTTGTCAGAACGTGAAAGGAAAGCATCTCAGATGTGCAAATTGAGTCTGTTTGAAAGATAGTATCATGGATGCGTGGAATAAAAGTCCATTTTCTCCTTGTTATTTAAAGCTGCAGTTTGAAAGCATATGCTTACGGTTTCATATCAGTGTCAGTGGGAAGAGATTTATTTTACCTATGAAAAGAAATCAATCAAAAATGTGAAGAAAACTGGAGTAAAGCTGAAGTGATGGTGTTAAATTGTCAGAAAGACATATTGTGAGATTTTGCAAAAGGTTATTGCAATAGATTTGACTGATTTTCAGCTGCTACCACGAAATTTTAGCTCAACGTCTGAAAAACTGACTGTATTAAAGTCATTTTTGTGTCTGTTAAGAATGAGTAGCTGAATCGGACGTCTTAAACTGGATCGGCTTCAGATGAAAATGAGTTTTAGATGCGATTATGTTTTGAGATTTTTATGAAAATAAATTAAGATGTTGATCAGATATCCTGATGCATGCTCAATAATCCAGGTAGAAAAATCTAAAAAAAAGTTAAATCTGGTCCTCTGGACATTCAAACATTCATTGATCAGATATTTTGCAAACAGACAAGGTTGACTCCAACAGTTACTGCCAACGGTTTAAATGAATATGTTGTGCAATGTTTAGATATCAGAGTACGTGTTGGAAATTAAAAATAGAAACTACCACACCAAATTTTTAATATCTGTGGAATTGCCTGATTTAAACCTTTTATTGTGTTTTGCTGTCAATTACCGTATTTTCCGCTTTATAAGTCACACTTTTTTTGCATAATTTACATGCCTGGTGACTTATAGTCTGAAGCGACATATTTATGGATTTTCTCCCATATTTATAAACCAATTTTTGGTTGAGATATGACCGTTTTCATTCATTCTGACTGAAAAAAAAAAATTTAAGCAATTAAGCAGTGCCACTTTCAGCCACTTGATGGCAGCAGAGTAGTAGTATCAGTAAGGCATGCCGTTGCATCATGTAATAGGTAAACATGGCAATAATGACAAATTCAATAAAGTTCAAGACAAAAACAACTGGACTTTGTTATACTTTATACTTTATTGTTTTTTTTCTTGAACATTTTTGAATTTACCATGTCCTGGATGACTGAGACTCTTGACCAGCTTTTAATGATACAATCAGTTTCCCCACCTTGGTTCTGCTTGCTGGTTGGACCGACCGTCAATCCAGCTGCACCTCCCTGGCAAAATGCAGCTAATTTTACCATTAAAGTGCATTTATTTAGCAAATGTTAGACTGAGACACACCTTTGCTATAATTTCGAGCAAACAAATAATTGTTTAGGTGCTTTTCTTGTTAAATTTTGATTAAATGAGTAGCGTTCCTCCTTCCTTTTTCCCTCCCTCTGCGCGGTGCCAGGAGCACCTCAGCAGCGACACTATTTTTGAAATGCAGCTGATTTGACCATTAAAGTGAATTTATTAAGCAAACGTTAGACTGAGACACACCTTTACTATAATTTCGAGCAAACAAATAATTGTTTTTAAGTGTTAATCTTGTTAAATTCTTGTTAAAGTCCTCCCACGGCCACCATTTGACACCCCATTGATTTTTGGCACAACACGGCCCCACATTTCCGGGTTGTCAGCGGTGACGCATAATAGACGCGACGTATACAGCGACTCGAGGCTCAATGGGATTTACCTGTATAAATAAAGGTTGATTGATTTATGGATTTTTCCCACTTCATTAGACAAATATGGACTGATGTGACTTATAGGGAGGAGTGACGTGTACGGCGGAAAATACGGTAGCTGTGGTGGCCATCTTGAATGGGGCTGATTCCAAAATTTTATGAGCTGTAATAAGATACACAATGATTTTCTTTCTGCAATTTCAAAAATTAATCTAGAAAACGGTATTTAATAAGACAGTAGCTCAATCTAGATTATATAGCAGTTACAGTGTGGTGGTGGTGTAGACAAAATCTAATTAATACCTTGTGCAGGAAAGTGTAATTTGTGTGTTTCTTACCTGACAATGAGGATGCGGATTTGAACAGCCCATCACTGCTCCCTTATTCTCAAAGATCTACAAAAACAATGAGGAGAAGTTATTCCAGGATGTAAGGTTTTATTTTTCATATTTCCTTTTATTTGTCATTTTCCAGGCAAACGAAAATACAGTATGTCATATTTTAGAGGATAATTAAGTATTCTGGTTGACTTCTGAGAGCACACAATTATGTAAATTAGTACAGTTTGGTTCCTGGTGTCATTTAGCACCTTTAGGTCTGTAATTTTATTTATTTTTTTATCTGGTTGATAAAAGCACATTAAGGTTCTGGCAAAAAAAAATAAAAAAAATAAATCCAAATTATCTCAAGTATTGCAGCATTTTGGGCCGTTGTTTTAAACTACTGTGCCAATTCAAAAAGCTTTACTTTTCTAGACTAGTGTGCATTTAATAAAACTGTGTATAAATAAGTACCAAACTTTAAATCAGCATATTAATATGGGAAGACTATATAATAAAGTTCTACATCTTATAATCCCTGTAAGCATTTTTCTTTCCGCTGTAGGTGGTTAAAAATATGAGCTTGCCTAGAAGCATCATTAAGGATTTACACAATCCAATCCAAAACACATTAAAATAAAAAATAAAAAAATGGACAGGGATAAAAACTAATCGGCGAGTGACTCCGAAAAAAAAACAAAAAACTGTGAACATTCTATTAGTTATATTTTCACAGATATTAAGCTAAACAAAACTGAGATCAGCAGTGGAAACATTATTACGACTGAGGAAGTGCGTGTTCTCTACCTGAACCCATGGGTATGTTGCGCCAAGTTTATCTACAAGCTCCGCCCACTTGTCAATCACCTTGACAACCTCATGTCTTTTCATTAGAGGGAGGGTGACGTCAGACCAGGGATGGAAACACATGACTTTACTAAAATAAAAAAAGGTAAACGTGCAAAAATGAAAAGAGTTAGATAAATTAAATATCCATAAGGATGAATAATAAAAAACAGAACCAATATACAGCACAGAGTGAAGTACTTTTTGCAGTACTCCGAATAGTGAAATAAAAGATTCCTTCAGCCTAGAATAATTTCTCTTGACAATATGTCATAATGATAAATCCTGATGGTGGATATTGTGCAAAAATATTCAGTCATCCCTCTTTTATACATATTCTTCCTAAGAGTCAAATTTCCTTGTACTTTTTAAAGTGGTCTGGTTATTATTATTGTATTACCGTATTTTTCGGACTATAAGGCACACTTTAAATCCTTTAAATTTTCTCTAAAATTAACAGTGAGCCTTATAAATCTGGTTGTGCTTACTGATCTCGAACCGATTTCATGTGGTATAACTGAACAATGTTGAGAGTTATTATGAATGAGTTGAATGAAGTTTGACTTATTCGACTGTTTTGTTTTGCTTAATGCGCCGTATAGTCAGAAAAATACGGTATATGATTTACATATAATAATGTGCTATGTTAAATATTCCTTGTGTTTCTTTAAAAAGCAATCCTGAAACTAAATGTGAATAAGATTTTTTTTTTTTTTTTTTTTTTTTTTTAAGAATAATAACATTTACTCCTCCACCAAAACCCTCAGCATGGGCTCCCCCAGGGCTGTGTGTTGAGCCCCCTCCTGTTCAGTCTGCTAACGTATGACTACATGCTGACCCATCCAGGCTGTCATATTGTAAAGTTTACAGATGATACAGTGGTAGTTGGATGCATCAAAAATAATAATGAGTCCAGCTACAGGCAGGAGGTGGAACACCTAGAGAGCTGGTGCAGGACGAACAACCGTCACATCAGTGCGAATAAGACGAAGGAGATGGTCGTGGACTTCAGAAGGAATGTACCACATATGAGAATGACAATAAAAATCCTTGTATCTCTTGTATATTTTGCCACCGTTTTCACTTTTTTATATTTTACTTTATGTTGTCTCACTCTTTTTAGGTGCTTGTCTAAAAACTCAGTTAAATCTTAGACACTGTCTATACCCGTTACTTTTTGTTCGGTTTTGTTTCCTACGAGTTTAATATTTAACAAGATTCTGCAGTGGTTATTATGGTCGTGATCAATATTTATTAACCTGCTACTGACGTCATTAATCTTTTTGGCTCGGTTAAGCTGATGATCTGCAGGAGTGTGATTTGTAACCCTGGATTAAAATGAAATCTCAATGCTGGACTTTCCAGGGACCACCTGTCAAATACAGATGCATATCTCAAAACACGAAATGAAACTGTGCATCTTAAATTTAAGAAAATGCGAGTTTGACCATCTGAAATCATGTAATTATTGCATTTTAACCACATAATCAAAATGCATGAATTAAATGCAAGCCTTAATGTCTCTGTGGATTTGGGGAAACGTTACAAGTGTTTGCTCTTAGCCTTGCGCTCAGCACGTAGGCAAACAAAGTGACTCTCCTAGTCGAATGCATTAAATCTCTATTGACAATCAGATTCTTCAGGGACAGAGACAACTAGCGCATGATCAATAATTGAACATGACGTTGGTGTTTATGCTCTGAGCAAAAAAAAAAAATGGTTGTATATATGAATTGTTCAGGAGAAGACTTTAACAATAGCTGGGAGCTCTCGACGTGTTTGTTTTAAATTTCTAGTCAAACCCTACAAGCAAAAGAACCAAACTACTGTTATACTCTGAGAGTATCTTTTAGCTTGAACTTTTTACAAGTCTTTGTCGCACCAACTAAAAGTGATAAAGAGGATCTGAATTGTTGGCACTGTTGTGTCCAAAGGTCCGGTCCTGTTATGGGGTTGTAGCCGCACTGACGAAGGTGCACACACTGCTGAGGTGACAGCAGAAATACAGAAAACTGCACGGAGATTCCGAAACGCTCCATCTCTTCTTGGGACGTTCATGTATTTATTATAAGTTAATGCATCATCAGTTTTTGCACACATTACTAAAGATGGAAGAGACCGCGGTACAGGTATTTGGCTACTCTGCATACATTTCTAACATGAGAAAAGCTGAGATTTTTGAAACAAAAAGTTGTTTTATTTTTTTACACTTTTTAAAAAATTATTATTTGGGCTGCTCTCTTCCTCAGGGATCACCACAGCAACTAACGCACATGAAGACTTGGCAATTGTTTTTACGCCGGATGCCCTTCCTGACGCAACCACAGCCCTCTGCCAGCTAGGGTGCCCGGGGGAGCAGACGGTGGTGGTTAAAGGCCTTGCTCAAGGGCCCAGAGTGGAGCAAATGAGAGTGGAGACGGGTGTGGGTGCTTCACCTTTCCCCACACATTTTGATGTTGTCATTCTGGGGAGTTGAACCGGTGACCTTCTGATCACAAGCCCAACTTCTCTAACCTGTGCACCACCTTTTGTACACTTTTGTA